AAGCTGAACACCCCCTCTCCTCAGATTGGTGCATTCCCTCCTCTGATAGGCTGAGCACCCCCTCTCCACTGATTGGTGCATTCCCTCCTCTGACAGGCTGATCCAGTGTGCTGTTGTCTCTGACGTCCACCACTTGGGGTAGGGGGCTATGTACCGTGGGGGGGCTATGTGCTGCCAGGATTTTGGATGCTAGCTTACATGCCTAGAGCATGCTGGGATATTATTATTAATAAACATATGCATTTCCACACACACACCAAAAAAGGCATTTGATGCGGTTCAGAAAGCTTGTCTTAAACACTCTGGGTTCCTAGACAAGCCAATATCCAATAATGCCATGTGCCCCACTAGCGATCCTGCATGGGATAAACAGTTAGAAGATGGATGGATGGATGGAAATGTCAAAATTCAATATAATGGCATGTACAAGGTACTTCTCAAAACCTTGGATTCAAAACTTTGCACAGCTAGTGGCCAGAAAGAAAACCAGAGGACACAAACGACCACCTTGTAACCTCAAGAGATTTCTTCAACATTCAAGTATTTAACTTGTTACAGAATTATACCGAAATATAAGATCTTTTTAGTGTCCACACTATAACATATTGGTACATATTCGCTAAAAAATGTAATGGGTTCCACATCAGTAGGTTCTCATGGGAACCTTGCGGTAATACGATCTGTATCTTAGCAACCTTGCAACTTATTTAGAAAGGGGGAGTCTGGACAAGTCCCCACATGCACAAACGGGCTCTGGGGTACTGGCGGGTGTGAGGAAGGTCGATTCGGTCGGCCCCTACCCTGCAGGGCCTGCAGCTTGTGCGTCTGGATGATGATGCAGAGCTGGAGGACCAGTTGGGGGGCGCTCTCCAGGAAGGTGGCCAGCAGGTGCAGCATGCTGATGTCGGCATATTCATACACCATTCGCCAGTAGAAGCGCCAGCGGTCGTTCACCCTGCTCCGGCGACTCCTCACTCCCAGGTAGATGGTGCGGAAGTACCTGCAGTTCAAGACAACATGCAGAATCTGCTGTTTATCGGGAATAGGAAGAGCGACGACTCCAATTGCAAAGCCCGGTGGCATTCAGATGTTCCCAAATAGCACTTTGCTGAAGAATTCTCGATCCACATGCTTTTATTTATTGCTGAATCTTTTATTTACGTTTTATTTATTCAGCAGACACGTATATCTGTGTCATACAGTTGAGAAAGCAGGGACAGCCAGTCCCTGGAGACTGTGGGGTTAAGGACCTTCTTGAATGATGGAATCACTCTGCTGACTACGGGATTTGAACCTCTGACCTCCCGGTGACAGGCACAGAGTCTTAACCCGCCCTACACATTTATGCATGCTGCCCATGTCCAAAATCATGCAATGAGGTGAAACCATGCTTCTAAATTGCTCTTGCTTTGTGAGTTGTTTGCCTTGAGTTGAACCGGCATGCCCGCGACTCTCTACTGGATTACTGAAGATGGGTGAAATTCTTACTGGGTCATGAAATTGCTACATCTAATTTTTCAGGTACGATTTGGCCGTGAAACACTACAGTAAAAATAATTATAAAGAAAAAAAAACAGATGCTCTGGACGTAGCTAGACCAATAAACGCTATGTACAGTAAGCGGTCCTTTCCACTAGTAGGCAATGTACAGCGATGTTGTAACCCATATTTTAATGTCTAAATTTCTTTTTTACTGTATAAATGTGTGCTGTACTACCATAAATCTGCAATTTCTTTCGGATTAATAATAGGTCTGACACCAGTAATCTGTAGGACCCTTGAGTAAAAACCTTACACACTTTCCCCCACTGACTGGCAGACAGAGGTCATCCGGAACAGCACCCCTGACAGAGCGATACTGCGGCCCGCTGATTTACCAGCCCCCAGGCGTATCTTCACGCTCCCAGCTGTAATACATCTCCCATTACTCGATTATTTAACAGACGCCAGTTCTAGCCTGATGACAATATTTACATACGGCTAAAGCCGCATTTTAGGTTGATAGTAAATTAACTGACTGAGCTTAGACAGATAAACATGTTCACTTGTCCCTCTGGAATCTTATTTGCCCTTTTAACACAAATACTCTTTTTTTTCCACTCATTTTAAAAACGAGAGCGGCAGTCTGTTTGAGAAATGCTCTACGTCTGGATCGAAGCATTTTCTCTCTGTATAGTGACAGGGCTTTTGCGTACGCCTTCCACATAATCTCTGGCCGTTTATGGTTATTTATTCCTGTTTGCACAAGCGAATCTGGAAGCGGATTTAGCCACAAAGACCGAAACGAATGTGATTGTGCTGAGACGGCAATGTGAGCCGTACGGTCATATAGTACCGAAATGCAGATTAACTGGTGCGCCATCCATTCATTCATTCTCCAACTGCTTATCCAGTACAATGGTACAGAGAGCTTGGAGTTTATCCCAGTATGCACGGGGCACAAAGCAAGGAACACCCAGGATGAAATACCACAAGCGATGTGTTACTTGTGTATGAGAATCAGGATCAGTAAATCCCTGGAGCGACTGGATTAAGGGCCATACTCAAACCCCGAACAGTAACATCACTCTACAGACCCTAGGATTTGGAGAAGGGTCTAGCTGCAGACGCCTGTAGAGTGTACAGTGGAATTTCAGTTATAAAATTCTGGCGAATAAACCCTAACCTAACTCTCTTGCTCTCACTTGTCTCCTGTGGAGGTCCACTTTACGTCCTTAAAGATCACGTGTTTCCTGTGGAGGTGACGTATTCCCGGTGGAGCTCCACTATACAGGCGTCCTCTCAACATCTTTTCCATGAATATGAATTTTCAGCCCATTGTCTCATTACCACAAAGTCCCCCTCCCAACCACCACACCTACCCATATAGTCTCCAACACGACGCGAAGAAATAGACGCCTATTTAAAATTATTTATATCCGTGTGACCAGCGAGGCTGAGATCCCGCATCGGGCGAATTACGCGCCGCCTCCCGACTTTCTTTTCAAACGCGACACGTTTCAGGTGGTTTCTAAATATACCACTAAATATATGGCTCACCGCAGGCACCAGAGGCTTGCCGGTGCGGGCTCAAGCTGTCACGAAAGCTGCCCCCCCGACCTCGATGCCCGCCCCATGAGCCACCGAGGACCTCGGTCCGGAAAAAAACAATTAAAAGATAGACATCCGCGCCCCGTCCTCCCCGCTCTCAGCTCCGGCAAGCCGCTTCTCCTCCACTCACGCCGCAGATTTAATTAACTTTAATTAACGGTGCTTAACTTCGGCGTGCCCAGGGTCTCTCCGTGACCTATCTGTCTGCTGTCTCACCAGGCACCGTTACGGGTACATGTAGGCACAGATCTGGGTGTCCTCCTAATTTTACATTCGTTTGATTGACAGAAGCAGAAATCCAAATCTAAGTATTTTTTTGCACACTTCAACTTTTTATATATGTTTACAGCCAACCCCCCCTCCCCTCCAATCCACATGACCGGCTTTTCAATCAACACTGCGTAATCAAAATGGATAGTTTGTTTACAGGTGTCATTCATCTTAATTAACCCATCCATCCATCTTCAAAATGCTTATCTACTACAGGGTTCCAGTGAGACTGGGGCTCATCCCACCAGGCTTGGGCACACACACACACACACACTTCGGGCAATTTAAAGTCACCCCATGGCTTGTGCTGGGACTGTGAGAGGAAATGAGGACGGAGTAATGGGCGTGTCGAAAGCTTGACGGTCGTGACAAAAATGCAGTGGATGTGTCAAAGGGTGAAATCTGTTAAACATAGTTGTTGCCTAACCTATATGTCTGGTCAATTTCTGGTCTCTTTCTGAAATAGCGTTTATTGTCAGCATTTTCGGCCAATAACCTTTTGGAATGCCTGTTCTATGGAACTCTCTTCCCAATTTACCTAGGAATCGTCATCCACTGAACAGTTTAAAACCAGACTAAAGATTCACTTTTACCCCAAAGCCTTTTGTGATCTTCAATGGCATGGTGCTGCACAGTCTCACAACACGCACATGCTTTTGTTATGCTGCTAGTTTTTGTTTTATCTTGTGTTTTTTTCATTTAAATTGTATCTCAGTGGTGTTTTCCATGGGTTTTAATGTTTTGCTGTGGTTTTATTTAATTTTTAAAATGTTGCTGATTGTGAAGCACATCGGCTATGGCACTATGGTTGCTGTTGTAAATGTGGTATGTAAATAAATTTCCCTTGCTCTACTGCACATTCACCATTGACACGCCCACCTTGTGACACGCCCACTAATCCCGCCAATAGAGGCCTATACATGAACTGGAGGAAACGGCACTCGAACATGCGCTCGACGACAACATACACACTTCGCACCCCCAGGAATGGAGACGAGACTCGAACCCACAACCCTGGAAGTGTGAGAGCACCGTTTCTCCCCCCAATAATTATTATAATGTTTGATAATCTGTAATCTATCCACATCACACAATACAATTTAAACTCATAAACAATCTATTTCACATCTGATATTTTCATTACACTTACATTTATTCTTATTCAGGCGACGCTTTTGCCCAAAGCAATGTAGCCTACAACTGAGGCAAACAGCACATTACAAGCATACGTGCTGGAAATGCAGTAGATTAAATGAAAGGGAGATATTTATAACAATTTACTTATCTTAAATAACATTGTATAACATTTTACTTATACTGTACATTGAGCTGTGTCACACTGTATTTATGAGAGACGCAATATCTTAATGCTTTATTGTATGTAGGCAGAAATCTATTCCCCAAATGTTTGAGGTGTGTTGTACATTACTGGGATTCAATTTACATTTCGCTAATATGAGAACTGAGCCCACAAGCTTCTCCGCTGTTCTTCACCAGACTTTTATCGGAAAGCACAGGCCTACAGAAAAAAAATGAAATATTAACCATATGATGCTAAATGACAAACCACCAGACAGTGTGCAAAATGAATATTAACATGCAAAAATTGTCTGTGCTAAACAGGGAAAATGAGTGCAGTTCAAGTGTTTATGCATTCACAAATGCCGATATCTGCGAAAGTCGCAGTGGTTCTGCTAGACTGTCGACGGTGCAGTCTAAGGAGCAGCGAAAGTGAAGGAGAGTGACGTCCCTGGGATTCATCCCTGCGGTGAGAACGGGAAGCTTGCCGCAATCTCCAGGGGGCGCTCATGTGCCTGTGTGATTGTGAATGGCGACGAACGGCGAATCCGTATGGTTTTAAATTGTTAATTTTGCTTCGGGAACGCAAATGTAAAGCAGTGACACTGTGCCCACATGTAAGTGCCAGCTTTTTCTGGAATGCCAGTCTCTTCCTACGTGGAATTCTTATGTATAACACTGGCTTTAAACCACACATGGACCAGGTTAAAGGTCTTCTCATGGTCTCTGGACACCCTGGACGGGATGCCAGTCCATCACGGGGCACGAGGCAGGGGACACCCTGGACGGGATGCCAGTCCATCACGGGGCACGAGGCAGGGGACACCCTGGACGGGATGCCAGTCCATCACTCGGTCCCATGGTAAATTGCTGTGATGGCCCCAGGGACAGATATACCTCCACATCATGTCTACATCTAGGAGGGCACCCTTTACAGGATACCAGTCCATTACAGGATGCACATATACTCACTATTGGCTGTTCAGTAGTGTCAGTTAGCCTAACAACCTGAAAGCTCCATAAACACATAACAAGGACAGGATCTGAACCCACAATCCCAAGACAACAGTGCCATTCACAATTCATAATTTGAATCTATTATGAGTTTGACTCAGTCCCTTGAAAATCTGTACTTTTCAGAACATGACTACTGACCTTAGATCTCTGACTTATGAGACACATACCCTTTCAGAACAAATTTCAGAAAAATATGTGACATCAGACTAGTCCCAAAATGGTGCCCCTGAGACTGTGAAAGTTCTTTAAAACTACACAGGTGTCCTTCATATCACAAAATGGCCACCTACAGGATGAAGGAGACCTGTGTTTTGATGTAGCCAC